GCGGGGAAGGGCCGACACCGACCTCAGGGATCCTGGCGAGGGGCTCCCCGACGGAGCGGGGCTCTGCGGGTCCGTTCCCCGCCGGAGCCGAGCCGCGGTCACTGGTGCCGGTGGGCTGGGGGTGTCCTCGCCCTCGGCCCCATCCCATGACGGCGATGAGGCGGCGGTAATGCCATTAGCCCGGGGATTACGCGCCCGCGCCGGGATGTGACACACTTTCTCAAATGGAAGTTTTTTAAACAGAGGGATTTGCGTGATCCCCCCCCTTCATCCCCATCCCCGTCCCCTTCCCCGCCCGCCCCCCGCGGGGCCAGCTCGAGTTTCAGGCCCTGGCCGGGGCTCCCGTCTCCTTTTAAGGCCGCGGGTTCGATGCGTGCGGGCCGCCGGGCCCCGACGTGGGGAACCGGGCCGTGCCGGGGCTGCGGAGCGGGGAGGGGACCGTAGCGCTCCCGCGGAGGGAAGGCGCTCCTTAATTAAAACAATAATAACAATAACATCAACCAAGCTCGCTCCTGAATCAGAGCGGCGGGGAGGTAACGACGGCGGGGTACGGAGGATGCGCCCCCTCTCCCCCAGCGCCCGGCCGGACCGGGGTCACTCAGCGCCCGCCCTGACAAACAGGCTGGAAAACGTGTTTATAAGTTGTTCAGACTCTGGATAAACTTCAGCGCGTTCTGCCCGCGCCTCCCCCCTGTTGTTATTTTCCAGAAATCTGGATTACTGGAAATATTTTCTTTAAAGCTAGAGAGAAATCTAAACACTCCGAGGACGGGGGAGCTGGGGGGGGGGGGGGGCGCGCTGTTGGGGCTCCTCAGGTTTTCCCTCACCGAGCCGCGCACAGACGGGCCCGCAGCTCCGCGGCCGCACGGGCAGAGGAAGGAAGAGGGAGGACGGCGGCGCCGGGGCTGGTGTCGGGTCGAGCATCTCGCTCGGTTTCTGTCGATAAAAGTCCATCAGGGGGGCCCCGGTGCCCGGCACATCCCGGGCAGCTGCCGCCCCCCCCCCACCTCCCCGGACACCCAAAGGGCACGGGGCACCGGGGGAGATGTTTTCCAGGGATCTCCCGGAGTAAAGGGGATTCCCAGCCCACCGAGGCGTCTGAGGGGAAGGGAGGCGGAGGAGAGCTCCGGGGTGGGTGAGAGCAAACGAAGGCAGTTTGATTGCACGCAGGTTTATTTTCCTCTCCAGGTGGAGCGGGAGAAGCGGGACCGGGGAAGCTGCCGGGGCCACTTATCGCCTTTTCCCCACCTGCCCCACGGCTCGGCCGCTGCGGGGTGACTGGGAGCTGAAGGAGCCGTCGAGTCCCTCAGGGGTACGGCACCCGTCGGGCTTCTCCTGCGGTGCGAAGGGCTCCTGCCAGGGCCGGGCCCGAGGCGGGGGGGGGACCTGAATCCGCAGCTGCGTGTTCGCTTAGGACAGCGCGGCCGGAGGTCTCCGACGTCCCCAGCTCTGCCTGTCCTGCTGCTCCCGCGGCAGCAGCGAGGAGCCCAGCCCGGTGGTACTGGCCCCCTCCCTCCACTCTACAGCTCTTTCCCATCCCAGCTTGGGTTCCCACAGCTCGGAAAGGTGCGAGCGGCCGGGTCGCCCTCCACGAGCGCCCGAGGGGGTCCTTTTGCCGTGGCATCAGGGCCGCGAATGAGAGGCCCGACGGCTCACCCTCGGCACAGGAAAACCCCTTTCGCCCGGAGCCGGAGCGGCCGCGGCCGGTGCGCCCTGCGCAGTCCCGTCGGGGGGGAGCGCTCCCTGGGACGCGGGGTCGCCGCAGCTCGGTGGAGCCGAGAGCAGGGGAAGGCGGAGGCCCGGCGGCTTGTGAGAATTGTTATTTTTCATCAATCACCCGCAATTTGTGTAAGTGCCCCGGACAGGACACCAGCCGTCCTGCTGGCTGGGGTCACGGAGACAACACAGAAATGGAGAAGAGCAAATTGCATTTGCTCACCAGCTCACAGATCCAAATTACGGCCCTCGCATGGCGCGGGGAAGGGAGCGAAAGGTCCATGTGACATGAGGGAAATATGAAGGACTTTGACAGGTCTTAAACGGCCTGGCGCCAAGGCCTAAGTCTACCGGCTAAAAATAGAAAAGGGATGATGAGTGGAGATGGGCAGAGATGAAAGGGGAAGAGCGAGCGGGGCCGCGCTGCAGCGAGGGGCAGCGGGGACCGGACGGTTTCCCCCGGGACGGATCCTTGGGGCTGCCCGTTCGACACCGACCCAGCCTGGGGACTGCTCAGCAGCGCAGCTCCAGGCCCGCGGCCGGCCGGGGCTGCTCCCGGGAGCCAGGCGCGGCGTCCCCGTGTCACGGATGGGGTGATGACGGGTTTCACCCTGCCGTGGGCAAGGGCCGTCCGCCCCGTCCATGGGCGCAAGGTGTTGGGTCGGGTCCGAGCCCCTGAGCCCGGGGGCCGCGGCTGGAGCTGCCCGGGCAGTGGGTGCCCTCGTCCCCGTTAGCTTCCCCCCCGGCAGTTCCATCAGCGAGCGCGCTATAGAGGGTCAGGGAGACGAAGCTGCTCTGGATCGGGTTTATTCTGCAGGCGAGGGCGTCTGCGACGGTAACAGTGGTGCGGGGGAACCCGGGCCCGGGCCGAGAGGGAGAGGACCCCTTTTCTCCCGGGGCCCGGTGTTCTCCAGGCCTGATGCGCCGGGCCCCGCATCTCCCGGCGGAGCAGCGGGCCAGGTGTCCGCGGAGGAGCCGTCCCCGTCGTGGGGAAAGCAAGGAAAGCGTCCGGGTTTGCTTTGTGAGGGGAGAATTAAGAGAAAAAAAAAAAACACAAGCAAGCCCCGTTTTTGCCAAAGCTGCCGTCAGCAGTTTTCCGCGGTGGCGAGGAAGCAAAGTCCAAATCGGGTCTAAATTTCAGTCCCTGCTCCCCGTTCAATGGTCAGCGGGACACCCCCACCCCCCCCCCCTCCCCGGCCCCGCCACGAGGGACAGCCCCGGCGGGGACGCGCTGTGCCCGCCCCGTCGGGCGCGATAGCAGGGCCGGGCGGCGCAGGCAGAGGTGAACCTGCCGCGGGACACGGGCAGGTTGCGAGCGCCTCCGAGCACAGCCCGGGACTTGGGGCTGGGCTCTGCGTTGCGCTGGGGCCGCGGGGGGTGAACCGCGGGAGGGGGGTAAAAAGAAAAGTCGGGGTGCGAAGGGGACACCCGGGGGGTCCCGCGTCCCCCCCCTGCGCGGGGAGCAGCGACACGCTGCCCCAAGGGCTCTGAGCTGCTGCGCATCCGCGGAGCTGGAAGACGGGGGGGGGGGTCAAGACGGGGGGGCAGAGGAGGGGGCCAGAGAGCACACCCCTCCTCGTCCAGCCTGGCCGCAGCGCAGGCAGCAGGGGCAGGAGCCTTGGAAGGGTGGCAGGGCGCTTTTTGAAGATTTGGGGGTAAATATGAAGTGACAAGAGACGGGTCTTTATTGTGAGGGCTCAGCCGCCTGGCGCCAGGGCCCTCTTCAGCCACCGCGGCCCTCAGTTAATCAGCGCAGATCTCCAAACCGACCTCTCCGCGGGGACACCCACCGCGCTCACCGCCCCCCCCTCCCCCCCCGGGCCCTGGCGCGGCGGGACCGGCCCTTAATCCTTCTGCAAACAGCCCCCAGTGTGTGTGTGTCCCCCTCCTCCTTATCTGCTTCCCCCCCGCCCGGGTAAACAGCTCCTGTGGCCAAGCACAGCCGCGTCTGCCCCCGGCAGCGCACCCAACGCTCCCCGACGGCGGGGTTTGGGCCTCCGCCGTGGGTGCGAGGCTGGGAGCGGGACACCCCCCCCCCCGCATCAAATCGTAGCGGCTGCCGGCGGGGCGGGGGATTGGGGGGGCGACGGCAGGGAGCGACTCACCCGCGCTGGAGGTCGCCGCTCGGGGCCTCGCCGCCGCCCGCAGCTCTCCGCTGGGCCGCGCTCCCGGCGGCCGCCCCGTCGGCGCTGCGCGGCTCTGCGCGGCTCTGTGCGGAGCGGCGGCCGAGGCGCGCCCCACCTCGATCCACTCTCCAGGCTCTGTCGTAAGACGGCAGCCGCCGCGCTCCCCCGGCCACCCCCCCTTCCCTCTCTCCGCTCTCCTCCCCTGCTCGCTGCCCCCGCAGACACCGGCGGGGGCCCTCGGGCTCCTTCCCCCCGCCCCCGGGGCTCCGGCCCGGGCGGGCCCGGGTGCCGCTCCCCGCTCCGCCGAGGTGGCTCCGCGTTGTCCCTGCACCGGCGACGGCCGCTCCCCGGCCGCAGCGCAGCCGGGGCTGACCCGGTATGCGGAAAGGAGCCGGGGGTGGGATTTGGAGCACTTTTCTCTGTCATTGGTTAATATTTTATCCTGTTGACATGTTTTCTTACTGCCGAGGCTTCCGACACCTTCTTCTCTTTTTTTTTTTCCCCTTCTTTCCTTTTTTTTCCCCTTCTTCCTTTCCTCCCTCCCTCCGCGCCCCCCCCCTTCCCTCCCCCCCGCGCCCCGGAGCTTGGCCGGAGCTGTCAAAACCACGCCTATGCAGATCCACAATTGGTCTGAAACGCGTAAAATCAGCAATCAAGGGGGCTTGGCTCATTAGCGGGCGGATCAGAGCAGGAAGGACATGTGAGATAGTCACAGTTTTACAGAGATCAGGACAAGATCCAACCGTTTCCACTCCGGCTCCCGGAGCCATGAGCAGCCCTCGCCCCAGCGCCGTCCGCGGAGCGCGGAGCCGGGCCGGCCCCGCCGGGGCGCAGCCAGGGCCCGCGGGGGTGTGAGGGCCCCTGCCCCGCTCCGCGCCGCCCCGCGCAGCCCCGCGCCGGCTTTTGTTTCTATTTTAGTGTTGGGAAGGACTTCACTGGGAGGGCTCTCTCCCTCCTCGCTCTCCCTCGCTGCAACAACAACAACAAAAAATAAGGACCTACTGTCTCCCCTCCGCAGACCGGGAGCCCCAGGAGCCGGGAACTGCCTCTCTTTTTTTGTTTCTTCTTCTTTTTTTCCCTCCTTCCCCACATCTCGTTCCGCTGGGGTTGGTTTTATTTTATTTTAAATTTTTCGGCTTTTTTTTTTCTGTGTGCTTTTCTTTTTTCCTTTTTTTTTTTTTTTTTTTTGTGTGTGTGTGTGTGTTGTTGATTTTTCCTTCCTCTTCCAGAGCCTCGAGCGAGTTCGCTGGGCAGGAGAGGGGAAAAAAAATTACTGAACCAGAAACAAGCAACAACAAAACCCACACACACCTTTTTGTAAAGGGAATCCCTCTTTTTCTCCTGGATTTGTGGATGCACCGATGAGAGATCCAGCCTTCCCAGGGACTGCCATGGCTTACCACCCCTTCCACGCACCCCGGCCGGCCGACTTCCCCATGTCCGCTTTCCTCGCAGCCGCCCAGCCTTCCTTTTTCCCCGCTCTGGCTCTGCCTCCGGCGGCGCTGGCAAAGCCCATGCCGGACCCCGGGCTGGCCGGGGCGGCCGAGGCCGGGCTCCACGTCTCGGCCCTGGGACACCACCACCAAGCCGCCCATCTCCGCTCCCTCAAGAGCCTGGAGCCGGAGGAGGAGGTCGAAGACGACCCCAAAGTCACGCTGGAAGCCAAAGAGCTCTGGGACCAGTTTCACAAGCTGGGCACCGAGATGGTGATCACCAAGTCCGGGAGGTAAGAGACGGCCCCGCGCAGCCCGCTCCGCACCTGCGGGGCCGCGCAGCGCCCTCGCCCCTCCGGTTCATCCCGCGTCCCCCGCTACTGGCCAGGTCCGCCCCGATGAATTAGCGCGGGGAGCTTCGCTCCCTGGAGGTTTTGGGAAGTATTTAACCCCCTCCGAGCTACCCCCCTCCCCCCCGGTTACTGCTTTCCCGAGCGCGGTCCCAAATTAAATTTTGCTCTGTAATTGAGCGCCTGCGACCCCCCCCCCCCCCCCGCATTTGTTTACGTTGCTTCTCACCGGTTCCTTCTATGCTGCCAAAATTTCCCCGCTGCCGGGGTCTTCCCGGCCCTTCCAGTGTCCCCGGTCCCGGGCAGTGCAGCGGCGGGGCCGCCTAGGTCCGGGTGAAGGCAGGGAAACGGTATGCCTCTGAGCCCCTGTTTACCGGAGTGGGATCTTAGAGCTTTCTCCCCGCTTTCTGTCACGGCGGGTGCAATAGAACAGGGTGAGGAGCGTTTGGGACGAGGAAAGGCTGGAAATCCTCTGTGAAGCTGAGCTAAAAGATGGTGGTTTCGAAGCGGCAGCCGGGGCCGGGAAGTGCGGGGCGGCTCGGTGGGGCCGCGGCAGACGGGGTCGGCAGCGGGCGGGGGGCACAGCCTTGTACCGCTCTGGGTTTCTCCGCAGGAGGATGTTCCCCCCGTTCAAGGTGCGGGTGAGCGGCCTGGACAAGAAGGCCAAATACATTTTGCTGATGGATATAGTGGCGGCCGACGATTGCCGGTACAAGTTCCACAACTCCCGCTGGATGGTTGCCGGGAAGGCCGACCCGGAGATGCCCAAGCGCATGTACATCCACCCCGACAGCCCTGCCACGGGGGAGCAGTGGATGGCCAAACCTGTTGCCTTTCACAAACTCAAGCTCACCAACAACATCTCGGACAAGCATGGCTTTGTAAGTGCGGCTGTGGGGCAGAGCAGAGCCCCCCGAGCGGGGACCCTCCGAGCAGGGATCTACTGAGATCCTTTGGGTTTTCCCGGTGCCGGGCTGCCCGGCCCTGCTCTGCGTGGGGCGGCCTTGGAGAACCACAGGGCTTCAGCGGCTTCTTCTCCAGCCAGCAGCGCGCCCGGGGCCCGGCTGGACGTCGGGGCCTTGCCGGGCCCTGTGATGCCCTGGCTGTCCCACTGCCCCCTCGGCCGCTGGTCCCACCCGGCACCAAGGGGTAGCTGCTTGCCTTCCTGGGGACGGGTCCCCAGGGTAAAAGGGAATGTTGGGCTAGGGACAGCCTCAGGGTCCCACATCCCGGGTCTCCCCGGCCTGTCCTGCCGCCTTTCCCCGGCCCTCGGGGCCCTGCGGGGAGCGGTGTTTGAAAGGGTGCGTGTGCGGGGCAGAAGTCGTGCGGGGGGGGGGCAGTGAGGGCAGCCCCGACGGAGCGGCAGGGCTGGGGACGGGCAAGTGCAGCCCAGGATGTCGCTGCCGGCCGGGCCGAGGAGAGCGGTGCTGAGAGCTGCGGCACCTGCTCTGGGTTTCCGCGGCTGGGAGCAGGGCCGGAGCCGTTGGCTGAAAGCCCCTATTTATTTCCCTATCTATTCGGAAGCCCCTGTTTACTTCCCTATTGGTCATGTCTGCATCATCTAAAGGAGGTAAAAGAAAACAAAAAATAAAGCCGAGAAAATAAGGACCCGACAAAACAAAGGGAAAGGAAAAAAAAAGAGAAGAAAGAAAGAAACCGAAGCGTGTTGGCAATTTGCAGAGATCCACAGAAATCAGGGTCAAAACGCGAGGGGAGCGTGATCCTGCGTTAGTGCACGGGGCTGGGAGGGGAAATCACAGCGCATAAGCCGGCGGTCTCAGGCCTCTGGACAAGCATTTCGGGCGATAAAAGGAAAGTTCATCTTGCAGCACTGGTGGTGCGGTAATTAGCGGGGGCCGGAGCTCGGCGGAGCCCGGAACCGCGGGACAACCGCGGGACTCAGCGCTCAGGTGCGGAGCGCAGCGCGGCAGCTCCCGGGGTAACTTTTTGCTCTCGTTTTATGTGTTGGGTTTTTTCCCCTGCCTCTCTTTATTTTTCCTGTCTATTTTTTCTCTCTGAAGGCAGGAAACGGCGTTTTGTTAAATAATACATTGCGAGGTTATTTATAGGCAGCAAGGTAAATCGATAGATGGGGAGTCAAAAAAAAAAAATCTTTATATATATATATATATATATATACACTAGGGACAAACTAGTTTGATTCAGCATTTTTAACGGTTCGCCTCCTTCAATTAAAGATCTTTTTTGTGTCCGTCGTTGCCCAAAATCCGGACTGTGTTAAATCTGGGAGATGAGGGTTTAGCCAGTGCCCGTCTGGTCAGAGAAGGATGATTATTTTTTTTTTAAGGAATGCAGATTTGCGTGCCTGAATGAGACTTTTTGCACCATTTTCATGATAAATCAAGTCTAGATGATATCAATATAGTAGCGATCTGACAGTTCATCAGCAGGTGATTATTGCTGGCGTTAAAAAGGGGGGGATTTTTCTTTTATTGCCTTCTAAACTGAAATGAAGTGATAATTATTTAGCCATTTGGCCGACGTTATTTGATAATAATTACTCCAGCTTTCGCCGTTCCCCTACCGATTCCGGGCGGTGAATGCTGCATTTCAGTCAGACCACAGCAGGTTGGGGAATTATTTCATCGCTGTCGGGCAGAAAAACGTTGCCGATGTGGGCAGCAAGGGGCAGAGGGTCGGAGCAGCCCCGGGCGCTGCTCGGAGGGGTTCAGCCGCTTCCGAAAATCCTCAGCCAAATCGCGATGAATTCGGTTAAAATAAATAACTAACATGAGAAAAGAGAAGGAGATGGAGGGGTAGAGAGTGGCTTTGAGTGCTGGCGATGCTTTCAGACACCTGGTTTGGGAAAAAAACCATGTCTGTTCCTTCTGCAGCGTTGCTTCGAGACATAAATTTAACATGGCTCATGGTGAAACGCTTCTTTCACGACTCAGGCGCTGGCTGGGGCTGGCACGGGTTTCTGCGCCTCCGACACAAATCGAGAGGCTTTTTAACGATTTTTTTTTTTTTTTTTTTTTGTGGTGGTGAGGTCGAGTATTTTTTTAGGGTTTTGGGTTTGTTTTTTTTTTGAAGGACGGAAATATGAAAAGCGGCGAGAAATGTGTTGAAAACTCGCCTCGTGTTTGCGGGGTTGTAATAAAACGGGGAGATCCTTTTTGCTGCTTTATTGCTGTGCTTAACACCCGCAAGGATGCTGCTGTGCCTGCCTTCCCCTGACCTCCTTATTTGGGGGCATATCATGCAATGGCATAAACAAAAGAAGAAATCTCCCTCTTTGGCATTCCCCGGCATTCCTTCCTCAGGCTGAATTTGTGATAATTTTTTTTTTGGTTGTTTTCGGGAGAAAAGGGACTTTTGGGGGAGGTAGCTCGGTGTGGACCGCGAGGCTGACGGCAGCTGCGGGCTGTGCTCTCTCGCCCTCCTCAGACCATCCTGAACTCCATGCACAAGTACCAGCCCAGGTTCCACATAGTTCGGGCCAACGACATCCTCAAGCTGCCCTACAGCACGTTCCGCACCTACGTGTTCCCTGAAACTGACTTCATCGCCGTCACCGCTTACCAGAATGACAAGGTAAAACCGGGCAGCCCCTGCCCTTTCCCTGCCCTCCCCTCCTGCTCTGGCCTTGGCCATATGCCCATTTGCTTTCCCCTCCACCTACGCCTGCTCCCACCCCGGTCCTATCCTTTACCCCTTATTAGGGTGTATTTGTGTGTGTGCACCGAGGACATTTTGGAGGAGAGTGGCCAAAAGACAGCAACAGGAGAAAGGTTAAACCCCAAGGTCTCCAAACAGGAGGCACCTTTCCTACTACTACTGTTATTACTATTGCCAATATGATTGCTATTAGTATTTCTGTTAATACTATTTGTAATTTCCTCCTGGACCTTGTAGCACCTTTTCTGGGCTGTGAGAGTCGTTGGTGCAGGCCCGGGCAGCACCGCGGCCTGGGCAGCCTCATGGAGAAGGTGCCCTGGGCTCCGGAGAAGCCAAAAAAATGGAGCCAGATAAGCTAATTTTAGTTGCTTTCGTGATTTAGCAAGTGTTGCCCTGTGAGCAGCGGAGCCAGGAGAGCTCGGTGGGGAGTGGAAGGCCTCTGCCAGCCCCTCCAAGGGTTTTGTGTGTGTGTGTGTTTTAACCCAAAAGCTGACCCCCACCTCCACCCCTGGCTGCTGATGCTAATTGACAACTCTGTCTGAGGGTCCTGGTGGGCTTGTTTCCCTCGTAAAGTTTATGGCGAAGAGTCACAATCGATTAAAGAGCACTTTGTCTGCTCGCCCGCCGCAAGCTGCGCGGGGCAGCCGCCGGCCGGTGGGCCCCGTCGGGCAGGGAATGCTGCAGGTCCGGGCAGCCGGGTGGGGGGAGCGGCTGGGCCGGGCCCTTTTCCAGCGCCCCTCTTGGGGCCGTATTTCAGAGCCATGCATTATTGAGCATCCTAATGTCGCCGGCCCCAGAAGCCCGTGGTGGGGAGGGATAAGAATAGCTTTTACCCAGCGCCGCGCGGCTCAGTCGCCATCTTCTCTCCGGGGGGCCGTGAAAAATAACTTCCTATCATTAAGATTCTATTAATAATTCAAGCCCAAACCTCAGCATCATTTTTAATAAAGCATGCGGTGTGTTAAAGCGGGGCCGCAGCGCTTTTCGCAACCTGCGCAGCGCATCCCGGGCTCCCCGACGGCGGAGGGGGGTGTGGGGGACAGGCAGAGCTTCACAGCACCCCCTCTCTCCGTCTTCCCCCCTCCCGCAGATCACCCAGCTGAAAATCGATAACAACCCCTTCGCCAAGGGCTTTCGGGACACGGGAAATGGCCGGCGGGAGAAGAGGTAAGGGGTGTCCACCGTCCTTCCCCACTCCGCACCCGCGGAGAGCCGGGCAGTGCCCAACTGCCCCTCTTTCCGCAGGAAGCAGCTCTCGCTGCCGTCTCTGCGGATGTATGAGGAGCCCTGCAAGCCCGACCGCGACGGCGGCGAGTCGGATGCCTCATCCTGTGAGCCCGCGGTCGTGCGCGATGCCCTCCACTCGCCCGTGGGTGCCCTCCCCAGCCCCCTGCGCCTCAAGGGCAACAGCAGAGGTAAAGGAGGAGACGCGGTCCTCAAATTTCCCCAAACTTCGGGTTTCCGCTCCCTTGGTCGGTGCCGGTTACCCGGGGGCAGTGAAGCAAACCACCGGGGAAGAATGAGGGCGGGCATGAAGAAGCCCAAGGGTTGACAGAACAAGAACAGAGCAAAGGCTAGTGGGGTGCAGCAATGTCCTGTTAAAGCCATGGGGTAAACGAAAAGAAACGGCAAGGCAGCCCCTGGACTTGACACGTCTGCCCAGCTCCTCGCTGGTGCGTTCTTGCCTGTCATGGCTACATTACACTCCCCCTGGAAAAAAAAAGGGAAAAAAAAAAAAAAAAAAAAAAAAAAAAAAACTAACACATTTGAAAGGGGAAAAATAATGTCGTAACCCCAAGACTTCAAGCTAGTTAATGAAAACAAGCTAGCCGTTCCCACGTTGCAGTGTTTAGATGCTGGGTTTTGTCTCGCCGCACTATCAATCTGCTCTTTAAACTTTCCTCCATCCCGATTCCCTGCAAACCTCCATCAAAACTGCAACCCCCCCCCCCTCCCCGAGGTGGTGGGAGGGTTTATTACACCCCTCTCCTCTTTCAAAGGCTTCCCCGAATATTCGCCCCAGCCTGCAGAGCTTCACCTAACCCGCACCAAAATGTTTTCTTCGTTTAGCAGGAGGTGATCAGGCAGGGGCTCTGCTCCCCTCGACATCTTCTCGCCTCTCGTCCCCCTTCCTCCTCTGAGAGCTCGATGGGGCTCTCTAAATCAAACCCCGTTTTAGGAAGGTCTGCAGCATGCTTCTTGCCTGAAAACCACCTCTTTAACCTGACTCAACCTGTACGTTTGGAGTAAATCCACGGCGTGCTGTTGATCAGCTCCATGTAATTAAATATATACAGAACCATTTCCTCCATCACTGTCCACCCGCTTGTGCTCTCTTCATCCCCTGCTCCGCAGCCCGCTTTGAGTTTGCAGCTAACGAGAGCGATGCTGTAATAGATTTTTGGTCCTCCATCAAACATGTTTTTCCTGTTTGGCAGAGCAACAGACCTGCTGTTGTTAATCCCCTTTCCCCAGAGCGACCGTGGCACGAGGGCCCATTTCTGCCCCTGAAATGAGTTTCTCCCATTAATAACGATCGGAGCTTTGCCGCCGCAGTCTCTCCCTGACGCCAGGGCTCTCACGAGTGACACACTCCTTGCCTCCCCTGGGTGCTTCTGATCTGACCCTTTGCCCCTCCATCCCCTTGCAGAGGAGAAACCAGGGGCTGACAGTGACGCAGAGGTGGAGAAGGCACCCGAGGAGCGGCCGGCAGCAGCAGTCAGCCCCAGTGGGGAGGACGTGACGCCCCGTGGCAGCCCCCGGTGCCCAGAGGAGCGGAGCAAGGAGAGACACAGCCCGGAGAAGGTCAAGGATGGTGCATCCCCCCGGGAATGCCCTGGTGAGGGCCTGTTTGGCACACGAGGCCTGGAAAAGGATAAGGTGGAAGGACGGAGGAAAGAGCCAGACCCGAGCAAGAAGGACATGGAGGGCAGTGGGCTAGGCAAGGAGGCCTTTGCCCCACTGATGGTGCACACGGACAGCCCCCCACACCTGAGTGCTGGGCACCTGCAGAGTCTGGCACTCTCTGGCCTCCATGGGCAGCAGTTCTTCAGCCCTCTGGGTGCCGGGCAACCCCTCTTCATCCACCCAGGACAGTTTGCCATGGCTCCCGGTGCCTTCTCTGCCATGGGCATGGGACACTTGCTGGCCTCGGTGACCGGTGGGGGAAGCCTAGAGAATGGAGCCCTCTCATCTGCCCCGAGCACGGCAGGGACAGCCACCCCCTTCCCTTTCCACCTCTCCCAGCACATGCTGGCCTCTCAGGTAAGACCCTGTGCTCATCCTGTGACCCCACTGCCCCCTGTTCCCACTGCCCAGCCAGGCCCTGAGCCTTCCTCTCCGTGTCCTTCCCCAAAGCTCCCTGAATGAGCAGAACTCTTTGGGAATGCAGGTCCCAAAGGTGGGGGAATATGCAGGGGGGAGCAATAAAAGTGCAAATAAGGAGCTGCTGGTCCCCCCAGCATCCCCAGTGCCCTCTGCAGCCCCTGGGGACAAGGGGGTGAGGCTCCCCAAGACTTTTGACATGCTGCCTGCTGCAGCACTGGCAGGATGTGGGGGACATTTTGAAGGTTGGCCTCAGGGCTGATTTGAGGAGGAATCTTGTAGGGTTTTTTTTCTGTAGCTGATCCTGTTCCCATAAGCAGGGGCAGAGTCAGGAGCATAGCCTTACCTGACCTGGCTGTCCCCAACCAGCAGCATCCCCATATCCCTGTCAGCCCCAAAATGGCTCCTGCATCGCCTGCGATGGTGTTGCCTTTCCCATCGCCTATGATGAAATTCATAAAGATGTATTTGAACTCCCCTAATTTCTCAATCCTACTTAGCAATGTGTTTTAATCTGGTTAAAGGTTAGTGATGCTGCACAGACTAGGACACACAGTATACACAGAGGGGACAGAGCAGGGATGGGGCATGTCCCAGAGAGGGGTTTGTGCCTGGCAGCACCAGCCCAGATCACTGTACAGGACTGTACTCAGTCCCTTGGCCTGTCCCACAGGGATATTCCCACACTGTGTTTTTAGGATGACTTTCTTGGGGGAACATAGGAGGGGGGGCAGGCAGGAGGGAGGATGCAGTGGAGCATGAGCATGGCTCTCACCCCTCTCTCTCTCTCTTTCTCTCCAGGGAATCCCGATGCCCACCTTCGGCGGACTCTTTCCCTACCCCTACACCTACATGGCAGCAGCCGCGGCAGCTGCCTCGGCCATGCCAGCCACCAGCGCGGGGGCCGCCGGGCCGCTCTCCCGCAATCCCTTCCTGGGCAGCAGCCGTCCCCGTCTGCGCTTCAGCCCCTACCAGCTCCCGGTCACCATCCCGCCCAGCACCAACCTGCTGACCACCGGCCTGCCCACCAGCCTCAACCCCGGATCCGAGGGCTCCAAGGCCAGCAGCAGCCGTGAATCCAGCCCTCTCCCGGACGTGCCCCTGCACAAGGGGGGCAGCCAGCGCTCCACTGCCTCCCCCAAGGGCTCCCTGAAGGAGTCCCTCAACGAACTGCAAAACATCCAGAGACTGGTGAGCGGGCTGGAGAGCCAGCGGGAGCTGTCACCCGGCAGGGAGTCCCCCAAGTGACCGACGGCGCGGGCAGCGAGCCCTCCGGCGGGGCGGAGAAGCACTGGTATTTTGTACAGCACAGTATAAATATTTATTGCAGAGCAAGGGGCGGGGGACGAACAGGGAAGCGAGGTGCTGGAGCAGAGGGATGGAGCCCCACCGGCCAAGCAGACCCACCACCCCAGAGGCAGGAGTGAGAGCTGGGAGCGCAAGGCTCGTCCGTCCCTCCAGCTGCGGGGTTGGGAGAGGCTCCCCGACTCCAACATGGCCATGGACCCCCCCGACCCTTCTGCTGCCCCGCTCTGGGCACTGAGCAGCTTTGGGGGTGCAACGAGACCAGGCAAAGCCCCGTGATGATGGGGCACCCCCGACCCCCAGCCCCAGCGCTGGTCCCGGGGAGATGTACGGGGCCAAAACCTCATCTGTGCAAAGGGGGTGGGGGGTGGGGGGTGGGAGGGGAGGGAGGAAAAAAGAACTAAAAAAAGGAAAAAAAAAAAGGAAATAAGAACCGAACCATGGGATAGAAACCGCCTCGGCAGCGGCCGCCGCGCAGAGCGGGTCCGGCGGGGGGAGCCCCGTGGGTACCCGGGCAGATATTTATGAAATAAATGGTAATTTGTGTAAATAAGCTATAAGGATCCCAGAATATGCAAATTGGTATTAATTTATTCAGAGTTGTACATTGGTGTGTACATAATATTTAGAGTTTAACTCATCGCATTTAAGGTTTTTTTTTTGTTTTGGTTTGTTTTGGTTTTTTTTTTTCATTTTACATGAACATATATATTGTAAATGAAAACTATTTAGCTCTTTGTGATTGAAGGAGATACCGGTTTCTTGAACTGTGTTTTAAGATATTGTTTATCCCGCCTGTTCTCTAGGACAATCATGTGCCACCGGTAAAGCAATTGTTGGAGTCATTGAAACTAAGGGTTCAATTCTTTAACGGACTTTTGCAAGGAAAATAAAACAGCAACAACAACAACAGAAATCGAATCCAAAATGTAACGCAAATATCGCTGCAGTGCGGGGTAGAGAGAATGCAGGAATAAACCTCAGGTTTTTATTTTTCACTCCAAGAACAAAAAAAAAAAAAAAGGAAAAAAAGAAAAAAGTATAATAAATTTAAATATCACAGGACTGTGCTCTATATTTGTTTTAAAATAAAAAGATACATGATTCGCAACGTGCTGGTTACTCGGGTGTCTGTCTGTTCAGTTTTGATGAATTCTCACATCTTTCAATAAAAAAAAAACCCTACTCGGAGAAGTCCTGCCGGCTCCCGCTTGTTTCATTCCCGTCGCCACCCCGCGGCCGCAGTGCCCCGTCGGGGCCGCCGCTCCTCCGCAGGTGCGCAGCGCTGCGCGGGCTGCCCAGCACCACCGTGGGGCAGATGGGGAAAGATGGAAATGATCCGAGGTGCGCGGCCGCCAGCGCCGGCGGAGCTCTCCGCGGGGGGCCCCGGGGAAAGGGAAACGCCGCCGGCTCCTCCCGTCAGGGGATTGTGCCCTCAGGGCCTCTGCCCTCCCCAAGAGCCCCCCCTGCCCGGGCAGAACCTGGCATAGTGCACGGGAGGGGCGCGAAGTTGTCCGCGGGTGCGCTGATGGAGAGGAGGATACAGCGCCGGGACCCTGCGCGAGTGCGGATCTGTCCGCACCGTCCTCGGAGGGCAGCGGGACTGCCGCGGATGAGTGCCAGTGCCGCCCCGTGAGGGCAGGGCCCGGGCAAGCCGGTAGCGTCCTGCCGCGCTACGGTGACGAGCACTGGTACCGCAGAGAACGGGAAAGGCGCCGGCACATCGGTTACAGCTGAGATCGGGGTGCGCCGGTCACATCAGCCCCAGCGGGGAAGGGATGACTCGGGCAGAGCGGCACCGTCGGGGATGGGGGTGCTTCGGCGCCGGGGGTCCCTACGTTCCCCCCCCGCTGCCGGACCGCTCCGGACGTTGCGGGGCGCGGCCGTGGAGGACGCAAACGGCCCTTTTCCTCACCAATTACCCTTCTCCCGTTCCCGGGAAGATTTATGATCCCAACTGCGGCCGGCGGCAGGGGGCCCGTCCCCCTCGGGCGCGGAGGCGCAGCGCCGGGCGTAGGTCGCCCTCTGCTGGTGCCGCCGCGCACCCGCCGCCGCTGCGCCTCGACGGCGCGGGCCGTGCGCGGCCGCGGCTCCTCCTTGGCCTCCGCGGAACTCTCATCCCAGCGCTCCAGGGGGACTGCAGGCAGGGAAGGGGCTGCGGACCCCTCCCTTAGTGGCGTATGAGGGGAGATGCTGGAGCTGCGTTCCCCGAAGGCAGGAGAGGAGAAGTGGTGTTGCATGGAGAGCAGTGGGGCTGCTTCTACCTGTGAGGAAGACCGGCAGGGTGGGAACGGCTTCACGAGGAGGAGGGAAGTGTAGTTACTAAAATTAAGCTTTCGGGATTATTCTGTATAAGCATCACTCAGGATGAGTAACAATTTAATGGGTTCTGTTTTTAGAGGGGGGAGAGCATGGTGTATGCCAGTGCCAGGGCTCCCCTGGCCCTTTCCAACACCCTTCTACTCGTGCTGGGTTTAGGCTACACTGGCTAACCACAGCAGGGAGATGTCTCAACACAGCCAGCGCCAGGAAAGCCTGGTGTGAGGGTTAGTGAAGGTTTAAACATCACTTCCTCCTCAGTGGCTGAACACGGGGGCCTAAAGGGCACCCCAACCTGCCCTCTAAGCATGAAGCCACTCTTCACTGGGGAGAGAAAAACTCCCCCTGCAGAGTGTGGGTTCATGACTGTGACCTTGAGGGATGGTGCGGGAGGCAGGGAGCAGGGCCTGGCCCCCCAGCCAGGCAGTATGGGCAGCAGAGCATTCTGTCAGGAGCTGAGCTGCTCCAGGCTTGCCACGGCCAAACCCAGTCTCTGAGAAACCCTGTTCAAACAGCCTAAGGAACAGCGACTGATTAGTCATGCACTGTGCTGGGATTATTTTCCTCAGATATGAAAAGACACTAGGAGGCCCTGCAGGGGCACACCCGGCACAGCCCCCTCCTCCCATGGCCCTGCTGCTCTGCACCCTTCAATGCACCCGATGAAACCCTGCTTGGCCATGCCATGTGCTGCGGTCACTGTCGAGTCATGAAAATGAAGTGCTGGGTGCTCCACCGACCTCTGATGGAAGGTGTTCCACCAGCGAGTAGCACTGGTGCCACTAGCACAGTGAAAACTGAGGATTTCACTAGGGCTAGTGGTGGCTTTGGAATTTCTTCAGCTAAATGGTCACGGTGCTTGGCTAGACACTAAAAATAGCTTCTTACCCCAAGGGTTTTGTGGGCCTGCTAGACAAACCCTGACTAACTTGGCCACTGAGCTGCCATGCAGGACAAGACACTGCTGAAACGGCCCTATGGGAAGGCGTTTGTCAGCAGGAACACGGGCTCACTCCAGAGCATCACACAGCCCCGCAGAGGGGGGAGCTCTGCCACAACACCCATCCCTGTACAGGCCCAGCGGTGGCTTTTTGTCACTTGCTCAGTCTGAAGGGCTCTGCTGTTGGCGCTGTGCCTGTGTGCCAGCCCAGTGCCACCACACGCTCCCCAGGAATGTCGGGTTACGGGTGCATGGCAGAAGGGCAAGGGAGCTTCACTGGGTGTGCTCAGGCCCTGACTGCTATGAAAGGTGGGGAAATCTGTTCTTTTGCCACTGCTGTGTGGGGTTTATAGGAGCTGACCACTGCACATCCAGAGGAAGGGCAGGCGGGGCAGCACCCCGAGAATGGTGTCATGAAGCTGGGCACACCGTGCCCTGTGCTGGGAGCTTCCCCAGCCTTGTGGAGTTTCCTTGACCCACTGGTGCCACAGGCAGGTTCTAATCCACCATCTGAACACTTCAAGGACGGTTCGGGTCCCTCTGCCAGCCCCGGGACGCTGTCGTTAGGGAAGGAGAGCCCGGGTGGGCGGGCAGCGGGGCTGGCAGCTGAGAGGGCAGCGGAGCAGGGCAGCGGATCGGCAGCTCTTGGTGCCTGCCACCGCGCTGCCTGCGCGCCCGGGCCGAAGCGGAGCGGGCCGAGCCCCCGGCCGCGGCTCCCAATTAGGGCCCGGCCGGCGCTGCCCCCCCGCGGAGCGCAGGGGCGGTGGAGGCGCGGTCGCGGCCTCGGAGCCCCAATTACCCACGGGGCCGCCGCTCTGTCTGCCGCCCCCAGTGGAGGATCAATAGATAAAGGGCAGCTCCGGGGCCCTCCACGAAGCCCTGCTCCCCCTACTCCGGCCGGGCATCCCTTAGCGCTGCGCACGGCTGATCCCCCCGCAGAGTACCCGCGCATCTCTCCGCACTTGTGCGCTTGAGGCGGGATACGCAGCCTCGGCGGCGGTCCCGCACCTGCGGGTGGGCGTGATTTATGGGGCTGCTGCTAGGCCTGGGTGAGGTTTGTCGGTTATTGTGGGGATCTTATGGTCTTCATCTTCTGTCCTGTTTAGTGCATTGAGCCCCGGTGGAGTGTCTCAGGAGTCCCCGACGTGGAGCACAGCTTGTCTCTGCAGCAGCCAGCTCTGTGGGACATCCCTTCCTCCTCCATCTGCTCCAGCGTTTTTTTTTTCCTGGGGAAGCCCTGGAGCCTCTGCCCAGGTCTTTCTGCCAGGCACCAGTGTCTCAAAGGCCTCTTCATCCCTTGCAGCCGGTTCTGGCACATTAACCCTTCAAGGGCATAGTCCTTGGCACGGGCTGGGGATGCGGGAACGATGAGGTAGCCATCCAGGCTGTTCCCTCCTGCGACGTTTCCGGAGCCGCTTTGATCTGTGCGGTGTCCGGTGGGGTAAAAACATTATCAGGGAAAAAGCAGCTGTTTACTTGCATGGAAAGCTGTTTTTTTAGCGTCAGGCACCGTTTGCTCCGTCTCTGCCCTAAGGCAGGGTGGGAAAGGGGAAAGGGGAGTCTCTCGGTTTATTCCTGTTGTTTACAGCAGCGGGTGACAGCGAGGGAGAGCCGGGTCCGTCTCCCTTCGGCGCCTGTCCGGCCCTTTCCCAGACCTTCCCCGGAGCCGCTCCGGGAAGGGAGGAGGCTCAGCCGCGCCCCGCGGGTCTCTGCTAGGGACATCCGACGGCACGGAGGCTGCTGGGGGGCATCCAGCGGCCCCCTCGGCTGTTCCTCTCGGGAAAGCAAACCTCTCCCAGCCCCTACTGAAGGGCAGCGGTGGAGGAGCGGGCTGCGCAGCACCGCTTTGCCTTGGAGTCTCAGGAAACAAGAATACCGGGGTTTTTCCTCCTCGGGATGTTCCCCGGCTGCAGAACGTCCCGGCCGTGCTCGCGGCTGCCCCGAGCTCTGCCACCAGGTGGCGCAGTGGCGCCGCACTGTGGGGGCAGCCCCGGGGGGGGCAGCAGCCGGTACCGACGGCACCGTCAGTGAACGTGCGGGGTTTGGGTGCCCACAGACCGCAAGGGTGATGTTACTGCGAGCTGCGGTAGTAACACGCCTCTCCCTGCGCTCCCC